GCTGTTACTTGAAGGAAACTCTGTTGTGTTTTTATAACACGATGATTTAAAAGTGGCTCCACAGGCTGGCGCTCACGTCTGTTAGAACTACATGTGATTGTACGAAGATAAAATGAAAACATAGACGAACTTTTAGTTTCTGTTAGTTTGGTTAAAAAAAACTTTCCTCGAGAGGTTTTGATGGACGTGTTTTATGGAGACTCTGAGTCAGCTGCCCTTTAAAACTTGTGTAACTTTATGAGCTACATCTGAGACTAAAAACTAAAATAAAACATTTTCAAACAGTAAAAACTAAAGTGGAAGAAGAAAATCCACTGAAGCTAAACTGAATTAAAAAACTAACCAGAAAATGCAAAACTCTAATAATAATAAACCAATAACTGTTATTTGTACCATATCTAAGCCCACAGTCCTTTGAGTTTGGCGACAGAGAGCAGGACGCACACTGAGCTGACTGCAGGGCAGCTGATCTTTCTCTTTTCATGTAGTCGAGACGTCAGGAGAATCATTTTGTCTCAAACAGTTGAAATTAGGAGGGTTGATGGTGAGTATGAGCCCAGGCAGTGAAGTAAACGAGTGTCGAGGGCTGACAAAAGTTAGCGCTGGAGCACCAAAGGCAGCATGAAAACACAACATCTTCTGTCGGTGTTGCGCTGGCCTGCAGTTTTTACTTCAGGCTAAACTGGATCTGCTGCTCCCTCAGAAGCTGCATGACCTCCATGTTTGCTGCCAACATGAGAGCGTTTGGGACTGAAGCTGCTCAGCGAGGGAATAATAATGTTGTGGCAGCTTCTCTAAACACACCGAGGACAAACGGGGAAAAGTGGAGTTTGCAGAATGTGTCCACTTTTAAAACCAGATGTTTTTATTGTTTCCAGTGCAGTCAGATTCATTTGACCTGCTTTAAGAAAATAACACAGCTTTAGTTTAATTCAGTATTCAGTATGAACACTGGTGGACATTTCTTGTAGTCCTTGTATTTAGATGCTTGCTGGACTGGCTCTACTTTGGCTTTCTACAGCGAGAACCTGAGAAAACAACATTATTCACAAACGTGAAGTATTTTTCCAGTCAGGCCGGTCGCTCTTCTCTGTGCTGCATTTCCTTAGTCGCTCCTTCATATTACATGTGTACTTTTCCACCATGTCTGCAGCACAACCCTCATGGATACAGGAATCTAATGCAGTGCTTCCCAACCAGGCTCGGTGTGGCCCCAGTGTGGCCCCAGTGTGGCCCCAGTGTGGCCCCAGTGTGGCCCCAGTGTGATATTGCACAGTTCATTTGACTGAAACAAGCAGCTTAAATTCAACAAAGCGACTGAACTGAAACATGTTTGAGCAGAAGGTGATGGATCCAGGTGTGAATCATGAGAGCTGTTAAAATGTAAATCGATGGTTTTCTATTCGTCTCATTGAGCTGCAGAGGAAACGCTGCATCGGCCGGACGTGGTTGGGAATCACGGGTCTAACGTAGAACAGCCTTTTTCTCCCGTTGTCATGTGTCTGAGTCTGTTTAAAGATGTTTTCAGCCTTTCTGACTCACCTGTGTCTCTGCCTCTCCTCCTGCCGCTGAAGCACTCGCCGTCCGTCGGCCCGGCTAGCAAAGGCAGACGTGTAAGCACCATCGCAGATGTGTAGTCTTGTCACGCTGGTTCATTTGTGTGTTTGCATGGCAGGTGTGTTTGAATCAGGTTGTGCCTGTATGTGTTGCTGCTACAGGTGCTTTGTTTGCATGGTTTCTGGTGCTCGGCATGTGTGATACTGTTGTGCTTTGAGAGCTCAGTGACTGTGATAGACGTGTTTGCTGTGTGTTATGGTGACAGCCCTTTCCTGTTAGCATGAATGCTGGCGATGTGGTTTCACTAATCTGTCCTTCATTTTCCCTCGTCGCCTTCCTTTTACACCTTCCTCCCGTTTGTCGCACCTTTCTGACCCTCTGTCCTCTCTCTCCACAGGTGGACTCTGTGGATAACTTCACCCCCTCCAACACTCCGTCTCGGGAAGATGACCCCAAGTCCCACCTTAAGTCCCGCTCTCGTTCACCTTCCACGGCGAGTGACATGGAGCCGATAGAGGTTAGACATTCCCTAAATCTGGGCGAGAAACCACAGCTGCAGCGTCTCAGCCTCGTCTGCTAACCAGCAGCACACGAGCCTGCAGTGCTTTCAGACTGAGGTTAAATATTATGCAGCAGCTCGTTTATCCAGCACGGTGATGATCTTCTCATGGCTGAACATCTGTGTGATCCTGAAGCTCCACCGAGCTCGTTCTTTGCGACACAACGATTCTTCATGTTTTCATAGGACGAAACAGTGATGATGTTTTTGTGTTGTTGTTCACGTAGTTGATCGATCACCCTCGCTCAGTTCAGACGCCCACCATGCGCTCAGGAGGTTATGGCAGTATCGGGCGCTCCTCGCCTAAGGTTAGTCATCGATCACTCGCTGCTGAACGACCACGGCTCACGTTTCTGTTTGATAACCGCTCGTTATGTCCTCTGCAGCCCAAAGCACATCAGTTTGTAGTGAAGACATTCAACACACCCACCAAGTGTAACCAGTGCACCTCTCTGATGGTCGGGCTCATCCGTCAAGGCTGCACGTGCGAAGGTGAGCGCGAGAGAATCGGACGGGGGACACGATTGAGTACTCCTGCAGTCACAGCGCTGACCCGTCTCCCTCTGTCCTTCCAGTATGCAACTTTTCCTGCCATGTAACGTGTGCGGACAAAGCTCCAGCTGTGTGCCCCGTGCCGCAGGACCAGACCAAGGGCCCGCTGGGCATCGACCCTCAGAGGGGGATCGGTACTGCTTACGAAGGACACGTCAGGGTGAGTGAAGCCTCAGAGACCTGCGAGGTAAACAGGATCCTCGCTGTTTAGACGAGAAACCGCTGGAGCGCACGCTTCACGAGATGCAGGACTGATCGCACTGACGCAGGTCTGTTAATGAACTGTTTGTGTTTGCAGGTGCCCAAACCAACCGGGGTGAAAAAGGGTTGGCAGAGGGCGATGGCGGTGGTCTGCGACTTTAAATTGTTCCTCTATGAACTGGGAGAAGGAAAAGCAACACAGCCAAGTGTGGTAGTCAGTCAAGTCATAGACATGAGGTAAGAACTGAAACTAAGAAAAGCTTCAAGCATTTAAGGAAGAATTGCCTGCTTCAGTTTTTCACCAGAACGTGACTTTTGTGTTTGGATAAAACGCGTTTTACAGACGCATGCGAGTAAATTATGATAAAATCTTTGTTTTCTGACACATTTAAACCCAAAGATTCATTTCAAACAGAGAAAAATGAATCAGTCGTTAAAATAATGACAAAGTGGAGCTCGGCCATCAGCTGGTGTCCAGCACGCGTACAGTCGACGGGCATCTGCAAGCTGCTTTGCAACCACCTCCACCCTTCATGCTGGGTCAGACATAAACAATAGTGCACGTGTTGCTCTCAGTCGTGCACGTGGAAATAACCAGCGCCTGTTAGCTGCAGCGCCGTGACGGGAACATTTCTAACGGTTTCTTCTTGCAGCCTTTAGTGACATCGATGAAAATGTGAACGCTGATCTCAATCTTTCACTCAGGGACGAAGAGTTTTCAGTCAGCTCAGTCCTGGCCTCTGATGTCATCCACGCCAGCCGCAAGGACATCCCCTGTATATTCAGAGTGAGTACCTGTCCACGCCGTGCTCCTGGAGGTTAAAGGTCAGGGTCATGTGCACAGTCATGTTTCTAATGATTGTCTTTGGGTGTCGTTGCCAAAGGAACCATATTATGACAACTGGATGAACTTGAAGAAGAGACGTCAAACGCCAAAATAATCTTTCAAACACATGATGTGACCCTTCATCGTCCCTCCTCTTTCCTCAGGTGACGGCGTCCCAGCTGTCCCCCTCCAGCAGCCACAAGCCCTCCATCCTGATCCTGGCCGACAGCGACCAGGAGAGGACCAAGTGGGTGGGCCTCCTCAACGAGCTCCACCGCATCCTGAAGAGGAACAAGCTCAAGGAGCGCTTCGTCTACGTCCCCAAGGAGGCGTACGACAGCACGCTGCCCCTCATCAAGACGACGCAGTCTGCTGCTATCATAGGTGGGCGCCACAAACACGCTCAACCCTCAGCTGGTGTTAAAATGGCGACGCACAAACTCTTTGTGTCGTTGTGTTTTAGAAATGCAGCGTTTAATCATCACAGGAGCCGTTACCTGCAGGTTATCGAGAGTTTTGTCAGCAAAGAAAGCAGCTGAAAGTTTTCAGTCTTTGTCTCCTTGGCGCTGCCGTCTCACCTCGTTCGTTTCACCCTCAGATCACGAGCGCGTCGCCCTGGGCAACGAGGAAGGCCTTTTTGTCATCCATGTCACCAAAGATGGTAGGATCTGTGTTGGTGTTTCTGGTGCTTGAGAAGAGTTCCCGCTTTCTGCCTCGTCTCCCTGACTCCTCCCTCGTTTCCCTGACTCCTCCCTCTGTCCTCAGAGATAATCCGGGTGGGGGACAACAAAAAGGTGCACCACATTGACCTGATGCTGCAGGAGCAGCTGCTGGCGGTCATCTCCGGCAGGAACCGCCACGTCCGCCTCTTCCCCTCGCAGGCCCTGGACGGGCGCGAGACCGAGTTCTACAAGCTGGCAGAGACGAAAGGCTGCCAGACCGTCGTGTCGGGGCCGGTCCGCAACGGCTCGGTCACCTGCCTCTGCGTGGCCATGAAGAACAAAATCATCTGTTACGAGGTCAGAAAAAGCTCGCGCTCGCTAACCCTCGAGGCGTCTGCCGCTTCTCACGCGATGTGACTTGATGTGATGTGCTGACACTCCTGCAGGTCAATAAGAGTAAAATGCGTCACCGCCGGCTGCGGGAGCTGCAGGCGCCGGGGCCGGTTCAGTGGATGGGTCTGCTCGGCGAGCGTCTCTATGTGGGCTATCCGTCTGGCTTCATGCGCTACAGGTACGCTACATCATTGCAGCTGCGCCGCCCTTCAGCGTACACGAGTCTGACTTTGTGCTCTGAAACCCTCCACAGCGTCCACGGGGACGTGTCCCCCGTCAGCCTGCTCCACGCCGAGGACCACACGCTGGCCTTCATCCCTCAGCAGGGCCTGGACGCCCTCTGTGCCGTGGAGATCTCCAGCAAGGAGCTGCTGCTGTGCTTCAGCGCCATCGGGGTGTACGTGGACTCGCAGGGCCGCAGGTCGCGGCAGCAGGAGCTCATGTGGCCGGCCGTGCCCATCGCTGCCTGTGAGTGCGCGACACG